AAAAAAAAAAAGAAGAACTTAGGTATATAGCTCAGTAGCAGAGTGCTCATGAGCTCAATTTGTGGTAGTACACAAAAAAGAGAAAGAAAAAGAAAAAAAATCCAGGCATGATAGTGCATGCGTATAATTCCAGTACTCAGCAAGCGGAGGCAGGGGGATTGCCAAGATTTTAAGGTCAGCCTGAACTGCATGGCAAGACCCTGTCTAAAAAAAAAAAAAAAGAGGTGTGAGAAATTGATTCTCTTGTCCAGACCCTCAAAAAATTGTCTCTAGAGGCAACAAGAATGGCAAGAGCCAGGCTTTAATGGAGTCAGACTTGCAAACCTGGTGTCTGAGGGACAGGAACACACAGAGGGGCACAGCAAAGAATGTATAACCTCACGCAGGCTCCTTCTCATTGGCTGAGCGCTAGGGAGGTACAGTCTTCTCTAGCAGCACCTATAAGTTACACACCCACACCCACACACACACACACACACAAATGAATTTGGACTCATTCATAGTACTGTCTGTTCTTTATTTTGGGACTTTCCAAGAAGCAGATGTTTCAGGCAACCTGGGACCACACTGTGATCATTTGCACCTGCCTACCTTCTCCCGAGGCTCTCTCAGGCATGGTCTTCATCTCCCCCGCAACCCCGAGGTCCTTCCTGCCCAGGAACTCGGAATGCATGAGCTCCATCAGTCAGCTAGAAAACTGCCAGCGATTTTTCACTCAGAGTTTCACTATTTTATCTTGAAAAAATGGACCACTTTTAAGTTTCTTTTTCTTGCGGCAGGAGAAGAAAAGGGAGGCTGAGACAGTAGGCTCAAAAGTTTGAGCTCAAGTCAGGCGTGGTGGCAAAGGGAGGCTGAGACAGTAGGCTCAAAAGTTTGAGCTCAAGTCAGGCGTGGTGGCGCACGCCTGTAATCTCAGCACTCGGGAGGCTGAGGTAGGAGGATTGTTGCGAGTTCGAGGCCAGCCTGGGCTACAAAGTGAGCTCAAGGCCAGCCTGAACTGCATAGTGAGCCGCTGTCTCAAAAAGACAAAAAAATAAAATAAAATGTAGCTCAGTGGAAGTGACCCTTGGTTCAATCCCCAATAGCTCACACATGCATACACACAAAGAAAAAGAAAAAAAAAATGTAAAGAGGCAGCCGCAGTGGCAGTGGCAGCAGTACAAGGGCGGCGGGGGGTTGGGGGGTGGGGAAGGGAGTAGAAAAAAAAAGAAAAAAGGCTGAACCAGAGAGTCACAAGTTCAAGTCCAGCCTAGGTAATTGGGACTTAGGAAGACCCTGTCTCAAAATAAAAAATGGCTGGAGGTGTAGCTCGAAATAAACATCCTGGGTTCAATCCCCAGTACTACCAAAATAAAAGTCACAGGAAGGCAAATACCATGTAACTCTATTATATGAGGTAACTAAAGTAGTCAGCCCGGGCATGGTGGTGCATGGCTGTAACGTCAGCACCTAAGAGACTAAAGCAGAAGAATCGCTGTGAGTTCAAGTCCAGCCTGGGCTACACAGTGAGTTAGGACTAGCCTGAATTACAGAGCAAGACCGTCTCAAAAAAACAGTAACAAAAACAGAAAACAAAAAACAAAACAGTAATGAGAAAGTAGCCAAAACTGTGGCAGCAGAAAGCAGAATCTTGGTTACCATGGCGAGGAGGATTGCTCAGTGGGTAGAGTTTCAGATCAAAAAGTTCTGATTAATAGTACTGTCAATGCACGTCACACTACTGAACCTTACCTTTAAAAGTGGTTGATGATTTTCCTCTTTCTTCAGGGCTAGGGATTGAGCCCAGGACCTTGCCCCTGCTAAGCAAGTCTCTATGACCGAGCCATGCAGCCCTTTTATTTTGAGAGAGCATCTCACTAAATCTCCCAGGTTGGCATTGGATTTGTGAGCATCCTGCCTCAGCTTCCTGAGTAGCTGGCATTGTAAGCATGGGCCACCATGCCCAACCTGTTATGTATTCTTTATCACACTCGAACGTGGATTGCTCTGGCCAGTCTGATCGGTGGGTAAGAAGCTGACTAGTGTACTGGGGCCTGGGCCATAAAAGACTCTTCCATGGGAGCCGGGGCTCTAGCTCAGCGGCACAAGTGCCTGCCTCGCAAGTGCAAGGTCCTGAGTTCAATTCCCATCACCAAAAAAAAAAAAAGGGGGGGTGTTGGGGATATAGCACAGTGGCATAAGCACCTGCCTGGCAAGCGCAAGGTCCTGAGTTCGATTCCTGGTACCAAGAAAAAAAAAATACTCCTCCATGTTCATTCCTTATCTTACAACCCAGCAGCCAGGAGGTCCCACCCACTCAGGGAAACCTGGCATCTGAACAAAGCCACTTTGGATTCTGCAGTCCAGAGGGGCTGCCCCAGCCAATCCGCACGGAACAAGGTGGTGCTACCCTAATCCAGACTCCACCATGCGGTTATTCGGCTAAGAAAAGTGATCAGGCTCTAATACAGAAAGAGTTCCAAGAATTTTTTTCTTTTTTGAAACAGGGTCTTTTTTTTTTCTTTTCTGAGATAGGGTCTTGTTGTGTAGTTCAGGCTAGCCTTGAACTCATGGCAATCCTCCTGCCTCAGCCTCCCCTAAGAATATAGTTAAGTTAAAAAAAAAAAAAAAAGCTAGGAACAGAAGAGAGCACATAGTAAATTTAATCTGGTGTTTGTTCTTGTTTGAAGAAACCCTGGGCGAATATATAAGAAACTAATCTAAGTGGTTATTTATAGGTAAGAGGAATATTCAGCCAATAGGGATGAACAGGTTAAAATACAGAAGCACTCCTGTCTTGCTTGGTAAATGCCCGTGTATGGTCTCATTTTAACATCAGTATAATATTACACCAGATACACACATGTACACACGTCCCTTTTACTTAATCATGAAATAAACGCCCTTCCTAATAAGCCCCTCCCCTTCACATATGTATTACAAAGGGACAGAAAGAAACCAAGTGGCCAGGAGGCCTAGGTCAGGGTCAAAGACAGCCACAAGAACAGATCAGACAGTGACGAGCACAGCTGGGGGACGGGAAGGACAAGAGTCCCCAGTAAAAGGGGCCAGGGTAAGAGCTGGCAGGCTTTCCGCTCTGAAGGCCCCTCCTACCTCACAGTAGCTGTCCATGCTCTTTCTTTTCCATCTTTCTCCCCATATAAATCATCCCTTTTATACTGAACTTTGCCTTTTTGTAGTGCTTTGTTGGTGCCGGGTTAGGGTGGTGGGGCTTCGTTTTCAGCAGTGGCATGGTGTGACGTGTGGCGTGATGAGCTGTCCACCCCTGGACGTAACATCCCCAGCCCAGCTCCATCCCTAGCCCTGTTTTTCATTTCATTTCATTTTGGTTTTTGGTACCAGGAATCAAACTCAGGACCTTGCACTTGCCAGGCAGGTGCTTGTGCTGCTGAGCTATACACCCCAAACCCCAGCCCCATCTCTGTTTTTTGAGACAGGGTCTCTATGCATAGTTCAGGCTGGCCTCAAACTCATGACAATCCTCCTGCTTCAGCCTCCCAAATGCTGGGATTATAGGTACGTGCCACCATGCCCAGCACACATCATTTAAATGCTCTAATAAGCACTGGTAATATTCAGAGTTCACTGTAGTGTTCCAGGATCCAAATTCAGCTGGCACAATTCCATCAAGATCAAAAAGCAAACTCCCGGCCTCGTGGTTCCCTGGAAGGAGGGCTTCCGGCGCACAGGGAGCTG